ATAAAATTATTTCTGAGTATTTTTTTTTCAAATAACAAAGAATCTCCACCTCCTTTTCTCTAACTGAAATCGCTGTAAACAGATTAAGAGAGCTCTATGAATCAACTTCTTGAATGATAATAAATAACAGAAGTCAAAAATGGACGTCTCTATTTACCTTTATGTTGACTGTGTTCTCGCATCTCTAATAATTGATCAACTGAAGCTGGTGGAAGACGAATTCGTTGTTGATCTAATTTTTGTTTCGCTCGTTGTATACTGCGCTGTATGGATAATAGAGTAAAACGTGTTTCATGGACACGACGACACACGAGAGAATACATGGATGAAGCTAAACCGCTTCCATAAGAAAATAATAGAAAACGACGACCATATAATTCATCACACGAATGACTAAAAATGAGAAATAAATTAGAAATAAATACACTTTCGTAGGACAGTACTCGAAATGTTGTTTAATATACCTTGCAATCGATGAAAACAAACTAAAATATAACGATGGCGTATACATATTTCCCATATTTTTGGAAAAATGAAGTGCTGGCAATGTTTTTTGTTCAAATAACTCACGACTCCATTCTAATAAATCTTTTTCCACATTTTTATCTGCAATACACGCACGTAAATCGATATTTCTAAAACAGAAAAGAAGAACAAATAATTAGTCTGACATTTAGCAGACTGTATAGTAGGAGTGATATAATGATATAAAAATAAACAATATTATATTATAAAACCTCGATCGGGTGTGATCAATCCACAACAATCAAGTATTTACATCAGGTGAAACGCAAACATTGACCCAAGAAGGCTAGAACTGCTGTATCAGTAAATCCACCGAGAACCTCAACTGACTGAATGAATTTGACGCGTGGAAAACGTCCGATAAATGTTAATTAGAGTGAGTAACTAATCTCGTGGGATATACATATACAGGAAACTTTTAACAAAAAATTCAATAAAAGAACTTAGATAAATAGTAGTGAGTACATGTTGTTTGATCTTTGATACTTACCGGAATAATCGCTTCTCACAGCAATATAAGTCTAAGCAGAACGTGCTGAAATCAATCATTTTCTCTCTACAGGGCCTATCATGTTTCTCTCACAACTGGTTGCCAGTGTATAATATGATCAAAACATTTAGTAGAACGAATGAGGTTGAGCTACACAATTGATCCTTCTTAAATGTAGTTATAAATTGTCTATGAAATTTGATGACTATTAGACATGTCAGGTCGAAAACATGACAAATGTTGCATCGATAAATAAATTAAAATGCGAAAAAGTCAAAAATATTTGATTGTACACAAATAGAACAGCATATGATGAATAAAAATATACCATCAGACAGCGTTTTTCTCCAAGAACATAATCTATTCCTCTCATCGCATGAGAGTATGTAGTTAACAATAATAATTAATAACAATTAATTAATTATATATTCATTAATTAAAACTATAAACAAAAATACATGCGCTCTCTAGGCGTCAGTTTTAAACAATTATAGCCGTCCTTTATGTGCGTATGTTCTACTTATTTGAATAAGCAGAACAGATATTTTTTCTCTTTTTTTTACTAATATAACTGCTATTAGAGATTTAACGTACTTGTATTTATCTAATTGTTCTTGTGATTGAATGTATGAACATTGTCTTGCTAAATCATTCAGGTATAATCTTGCTAAAGATTTTTGTGCTAATTTTGAGTACGGTGTATGAAAACAGACACCCAAAAATGAACTTAAATTCACTTCTTTCGATGATGTTGCCGATGAATTATCTAAATTCATCTGTGATTTTGTGCAGTAAGATGAATAACACAGATCCAATGATTGAATGAAACATTGAACAGATAGTTGACCATCCACATAGGGATATGATGATGTTAAATCGGGCTTGTAAAAATCATAAACATGTTCCATATGAGTTGAACGACAACCTAAACGAAATAAACAAACTGAACAACTACTAGATAATGAAATGGATAACTTACCCGATTCAAATACAATTGGGGCATTGGGTCCAATCAAAAGGGCACACGCTCCCGCACCACCTGTTGGTCTTGCATTTCCTTTTGAATAAACGGCAATGTCACCCATCACAACGACAGCATATCTTCCATCCCAAAATGATGATTCGCACCAATGAATGGCATTGAATAAGGCTGCCGTGCCACCGTAACATGCATTCAAATTATCAACACCCTCTACTTGACTATTGCCATGTTCAACAAATAATTGCATCAAATAACTTTTAATACTTTTTGCTTTATCCAAAATTGTCTCTGTACCAACATCTAAATAAACATCAAAAATTCATTTTCTTTGTTGCTATTTATCAATTTCTTCTTTCTATGTACCCAGTCTTCCAATATGTTGTGGATGTACACCCGTTTCATCTAACAAACGTTGTAAAGCTGTCAAACATAGACTACATATATCTTCATGATCGCTACATATTGACATTTTCAATTGACCTAAACCCACCGTATATTTGCCTTGTGATACACCATCATACGCTTCTAATTCGGCTTGATCAACGTACAACGGTGGAACATATAATTCACACGCTAGTATACCAATTTGACTTGGACGATGCAAATAGCCGTTCATCTGAAAAAACAAAACTAATTTAGAAAATATATATTCTCTACTTTATTAGTCAATTTCGATGTTTGCATTATAACGACGCCCTACAACTTTTGTCTATCGCTAAGTAACACGAACTGTGCTGTTTTTGATTATTAGAAAGTTCTTCGATGTTTCAAAAATGTATTCGGCTCAAAAATACACAGCAAGAACAAAGGAGAAAATGAAGGCGATATATTTTTTTTTGCAAAATCAGAAGATAAATTTTGTTTGTTTTGTCAAAACACTTGTAATTTACTTGACAAGTACTAGACAAATGAAAAATCAAGTACTTACGAGTAACTTTATCTCTAGAAAAAAGATATAGTACGTACGCACTTCATTATGCAAGCGAAGTACCTGTCACCTCACTAATGATAGCCCAATGAAGTTAAGTTAATTCACAAAAAGTGAGAGTGATCAAAGGTCCCTGACCTATGATAACAATGACTTAATCCAAACAGTAGAAGTCGAAGCTATGAATAATAAACAAAATAAGAAAACCAAGAAACTGTACAGTATGAGGATTGCAATGGCAGAGAGATGATTAATCTATAGACGTATTCTTAATATAAGCTTTATTCTATCAGAACACAAGCAGGAAAATATTCCATTATAGTATTCTAAACTAAAACTATTGAAAAACACAAAATCAATTTAGTATAATATAAATAGAGATTCGAACACATGAACTTAGCTTTTTACTGCAAAACTTCTGTATCTATATTCTGTATAACGATTGAGGTTGTGCAATCACCTCAATGTTACCAGTAGTATTTTCTTTTTTTTATATACTTTTTATGTTCTGTTTTTGATATAAGAAACATTTTTTCATATAACAAACAGAACCTTATATCAAAGACGTATTTTTGCCTCCATTACAGTTACTAGAACAGGTATTATACATATATTTTTCTTCAAGCCACTCTACTCACGCGGTACCTAATCAAAACAATTAGATGGAATGCATTTATGCGTTACCACCTACACTAACGGCAAGAACACGATAAAATGCTTTTTTTTAAAAAAAAAGCATTTTATCGTCTTCTATTGCCGTTATATTCTCAAATTGATCTGACTGAAAGTATAAAACGTTTAAAAGAACATGTAATGTTATAGTAATAGTGTGACTCTGATAGTGCTATGATTGAACTTCGATAGTGTCGAAAAAAGTCAGTGTCAAAAATGGCATGTACTTTGTCGTTTTTATTGTATCGGTATCATAACATGACATTTATGGTGATATTCTAATAGTTCTTTCGTTATTTTTTCTATAGTGTACATAAAATAACTTTCAATCAGATCAATTTGAGAATACAACGGCAAAAGAAGACGATAAAATGCTTTTTTTTAACCTTCAAATATTCAAAACGCCAAATCGGTGAACTACCGCAGTAGTTTGTTGAGCTTTCCTTCAAATCAATCAGCGATGACTCACTCATTTTGTATTTGTCAATAATATGTACCAATAAAAAAGATAAAAAAAAGTTCTTAAAAGCTTGAACTCTAAGACTTACGATTTCGGTATGTTAGTATAAAAAGACAATGCAGTGACTATGTCTCTTTAGTTTTTTTCTTTGTCGCTGAAAACGAGTTAAGATGGCGATAGTTGTACATTAAAATTAAGACTTGTCAATTCAATTGTCAATTACAGAATAGCAAAAAATTTTGTATCCGTTATGACTAAGTTCCACAATACTAGAGTATTTTTGTAGAATTATTAATGTTTTGAAACTCTAAATTTTCTTTTGTCAACATCTTGAATTTTTCATGAATAATTGATACATCACTTTTCTAGCAGGAACGGCTTGTTGAAACTAGAATTCAGATATTGTTCGTCGATACAGTTATGTCATTTGTGAACATCTTAGAAAATACTCATATTAATGAAAGTAATTACACAATTTCGTATTAGTTATATATTTCTAGAAAAAATCGACTACTGCTTTTCTGGTACATCGAGCTACATTCGAACAAGCATTAATATCAGTACTGGATTTGATCCGGGAATGTCAACTAAAAGAAAAGTAATGGGAAACAAATTCAGGAAAAGGGATCGTAAGCGAGACTTTTTCCCTCATAGAAAGACAAGACAAAATAAGTCTTGTTTTCTTTAAAGGAAATGTTTGAAAATTAGTAGGCATTTAATTTGTATTCATTCTAATTCTCAATTATGCAGTTATTAATTCATCTGATATTCTATTTCGTGCATACATCCAACACTAGTTCATATGTACAAAATGATTTCTACAAATGAATTAGGTACTACGATTAAAAAAATAAAAGAAATTAATGTTTTCAATTGCGGTGTGGACTGTAGACTGTTTGCCATTTAAGAAAAAGCACTAAATGCTAACACTAAACGTCTTTATAAACCTTATTACAAAAAAGTGGTAAGTTCATTAGAGACAGTTAGAAAAAAATCATTGTAAAGAGGATACCCTGGAGGAGGAACAATGTCGCTTTATAGGGGGACATTTGGCATCCCTTGTTTGATCATACACTTCCAGTTACCGTTTTTCTCTCATTCATACCTCTCTTTGCAAACCAAGCAACACGGTAGAATTACAACAAAATTTATACCATAGTACGTTTACACTGTAAAAAATAGTCGTAGATTAATAAACTATCAAAAAGGGTCTATTGCGACCAATAAACCTTTTAAAAACGCTTTTCCGTTTTTTATATCCAAAAAACTAAAAAGCGTTCGTGACAGATGCAAAATGAAAAACGGGCGGGTTTTTATCAAAAATAAAAAACCCTTTTCAGTTTTTTGCCGAGTCTAAAATATCAGGTAAAAACCTCTTCAGTTTTTTAGCTAGTTTTTTAGACTCGACAAAAAACTGAAACTGGTTTTTTATTTTTGATAAAAACCCGCCCGTTTT